AGGGAACATTAATTTTAGCATAAGAAACAAAATCTAACAGGAGTATGTAACCTATGCGTTCAAGAAGCATATATTACATTCATGCACATATGCATACATTTGGCTTATTTATTTCTCATAGAGTGTTAGTTAGTTGTGTTAATCTGAAGTCAGGCAGAAAGCAGGGTAGATATGTACCTTATAGACTAAGTAAGTCTCTCCCCCTTTTTTTCTGTACATCAAACCATTAAATCTTTTAACACAAACTGTTGGCTAATATTCAGGTTTTAGTGGGTTGTTCCCAATAGGGGGTGAATTGAATGATGAATCCGATATTTCTTTGATATAATTCTATTTATTTACAAAAATATTCACACAGCTCCTTTTTCTCAAAACCTGATAGGAATGAAACAGGAAAGAGTTCCTTTGCTCATAGTTACAAGTATTTCTCAGATCAGAAATTTGTCCTAACACGCTCTCTCTGCCTTTTCTCAGGATCACACTGCTAATGCTTTTCTTCCTGTCTCTGGAGCTTCCCAGGTGTCTCTCTTTGTGCTTCAGTGTTGCTTCATCTATGCCTGTATAGAGTGCACTCAAATGCTAAGTACAGACATTCAAAAAGCCCAAGGCGGAATCGATCTAAGTTGCACCATTTTCTGTAAGCATCGTAGTTTAGATCAGTGGTGAACATAACACTCATTCACCCTTGGAGGGGAGGAGGACAAATCTTAAACTGGGCTCCCTCATTTTTAAATTAGTCTGTGTGCCAGACTTCTGTTCTGTTATGGGTAAAGACCAGTTTCTGATCACTTATACTGGTAACAGTGTAATGTCTGTACCTGGCCAAAAAGTATGAGCCTCTCAGTTAAAATCTTTCACTTACATTGCTCAAATTCCTAACTGGACTTGTTTTAGGTGGTGACTGCTGTTTCAGCTTTCTCTTCCACAAAGGAGCTTTATTGCTGTTTACATTTTTCCTGAATAAAACTTAACTGTTCCATCTACCAGCTTTAAGGAGATTTTACCCAACTTGCACTAAAACAGTAATCTGGTAGCAGTGACTCAAAGTTCTATTTTTCTATCAGTTTGAAGAGCTGCATCACTGCAAGGTAGAGCTGTTGTTTTACTTGTCTGTACCATGTTATTATACTTGATCAGACCCTGCAAGAGGTCAAAAAGCAATACCTACCCCATGAACTTACAATCTGAGAGAGGGAACAATAAAACACTGAAGGATACATGCATGAAAGAGAAAGGAAGGGGAAGAGGAATAAGAAAAACAAAGAGGAAAGAGAAGAAATAGCTATATTGGTGTGGCAGACATGTAGATACATCTCTTGTGCTATTGAGTATTATTATGGATGCGTAATTAATGCAATGAACAGTTGTTAAGAACAATGGGAGTATTTTGTTTTGCTAAATGTGAAAGTAAATGGGTTAGTCTGATTCCAGTCTAATGAGCACTTCTATTGCCAGATTCCAGGACCTGTGCCATGGTGAACTGCCAGTATGGATGTGAAGAAATCAAAGGGGATGTGCGGTGTCTATGTCCATCAACCGGACTTCAGTTGGGACCTAATGGAAGAACATGTATAGGTATGTTCGGTGGGGTGTATTTTTCCCTTCTAAATTTCTTTTCTACAGAACCATTTACAACAGAGGTGGACAAAATGGCAGGTCTGACTGGTGGCCGCACTCCATTTCCCAGCAGTCCCTGTCTGCATCATTGCAGCAGGTGTCTATGGAGGACCCAAGAGCTAGGGTTTCCATGGAGACTAGCCCCAGCTGAGTGGGGAGCTGCTCCAGGGCTGAAGATGGGATCTTGCATGGGTGACAACATGGTTTGGAGCAGGGCAGAGCTGTGATTCACTGCCTGCACACCCCTGTATGGGGCATGTGGGCAGTGGATTGCAGCTCTGCCCAGGCTCCAGAGCATGCTGCCACTGCCACAAATTCCCAGCCCCGGAGCAGCTCCTCACCCAGCTATGTTCCCTGCCAGTGCTGGTAGGCCCAGCCTCCATGGAAACCTTGGCCCCACGCTGTCACAGCCTTGCCACTCCTGGGGTCTCCATAGAAACCTGCCACAGTGATACAGGCAGGGGCTGCTGGGAAATGGAGTCCACCATGGACCCGATCCAGCATGGGAGCCAGACTTTGCCCACCCCTGATTTAGAACAAGTCCTACATCTTAAAGGGTTTTGAACTGAAGCTGGGGCAAAACTAATTAGTACTGAGCTCTTCCTCTAGGCTCCAGGTTAGAGCCTTATATTATTTTTCAACGTAATTATCCATACTATTTTGAATATTAAAGGACACTATAGTTTTCTTCTATGGCCAGTCCCATCCCTGAAAAATGACTGTGCTTCTTTTGTAGTAGGGTCAGAGTGTTTCTTTTAACATATTTTGGGATATTAAATAAAAGAATAGCATCCATCTCAAATCAAATACCAATTCTATCAATTTACCTTATATGGTTAGACAGAAAACTTTCCTACCAGAAAATGGAACTGTGCATTTTTTGTGTTATATGAACTGTACATTGTAAATACAATTCATCTGATTTTTTTTCTGTACGATATAGAGGCCTTGCCTTAATGTCACATTGTTTAGGGAGTTGTTATGTGAAACTGCAATTGTGGGCTTGTTCTGTTGCAATCTGATTTCTCAGTTCAATGCTATAATATAAGGCAAGACCACCACATTGTGAAACCTAAAAGGGCAAGGGCTATTTCTACCTGAACTTAAATGAACATCTTTAAACAACTTTGATCACTTTCTGGATGTTGAGTGAACCTGCCAAAATCAAGACTCTTCCACAGAATACAGAGCAGGTGGCAAACTCAGCAATCCCAATCATCAACAGCCTTAAGCTACATACCGATAGAAGGCTGGGCTTGCTGTTGCTCAGAGATGCATCATATATCCACATGGCTTTGAAATTTTACATGATCAGAGCAGAACATATGTATCATGATGTTTAAATCGCTTTTCAGATCAGAAGAAATGTTTAAGATTCTTGGATGAGTCATGTTTGTATCATCTCCTTAAAAAAGAAAAAAGAGAAAACGGGAAATAGTGTTCTCCTTTACTAGGTTGTGGCCCAGCTTACACAGCTGGACAGTGGGGTCAGGGGTGTATTCTACCCTTTATTCCTGCACACACATGTGGGCTACTCATACCAGGAAGTGAACAGAGCTTTGCTCTACACTGTTAGTGCACTGACTTATACACTGGAGATGCAGGTTTATTGCATAATGTAGAGAGCTTATAATTCCCCATGTTACAAATTTAACAGAAGTAGTGGACTGGGAATCATAGGATTAAGACTGTACCTAGACCAGCATAATAAAACATGGCCCCTTGCTCCAGACTAAACCACAGCTGAGTCCACAATGGAGACGTTCAGTAGACAATGTTTGCTTCACAGAATTTGGGGATTCGCTGTTAGGGATGACTGAAAGACTAAGGACAAAAAGCTGACACCTTAATTTTATTCCCAAACTGGAAAACTGAATAGAATTTTGGTTCAGTTCAGTCACAATATTTTGTTTCTAGTTTGGCCTTTCTTTTTTTTAGTTTACAATAAAACTTGACATGAAAACCATCTTCAAAGCTAAAACGTAAAATTTGCATTAAAAGATATTGGAATGTGATGTCTTGACAATTTAGAAAAATTTTCAACATTTCTTTTGGGTTGGAAAATATACCAAAACCAAATCATACCATTTCTGTTTTGACAAATAAGTATTTTGTAGGGGAAAAATGGTCAGAAATTTCTCAAATACTTTTAATGAAGAATTTGTAAAACTTCCAGTCTAGTTAGGCAACTTTTGAAAACTGAAATGAAAAAGTAAGAAAATGTTATTTCCTACAGTTGGTGACAGGACAATAGAAAGACTGTCCCTTCTATAAATATTATTACTTGTTAAAATGTCTCTAACATATAGATGATATGGACTATTTCTCATTTTTATTGCACCCATCACAGTGGTATCTTGTCACACTACAAGTGATTTGGAGTCGCATGTAGATTATGAAAAGAAAGCTTAGAATGGGATGTCCCAGAGGAACACGGAAAAAACAGTAGCTATTCAGTTTCAGATGTTGCTGAGCAAAACATTTTAAATGAATGCACCCTACAGCCAAAAGAATATTTTGCATCATGGAGAGTTTTAATTAACATGTCGAACAGACAGGAAATGAATTTTAACTAGATTGGCAAAAACAAAATTATGCACAACCTTTCAAGAAAAAGATTACTTATCAACTCATAGACACTGCTCTAAAGAGGGACAGTTACTATATAAATTGACCTTTTGCCACACAGCTGCAACAGCAAGTCATACATGAATTTCATGTGACCTGAAAGCATTTTATTGCTTTTAGGAGCTATAGAGTGAACCCATATGGATACTTGGCTCAGCTTCCAAACAATAAACATGATATGGTGGGAACATTATTTCTCTGCTCAGAAATTAAATAAATATGTGATGGCCCATTTTGAATGTATCAGCAGGATTCTCTTATCCAACCACCCATTGTAGTTTTATTATTAACAGTTGTTTGAATTATTTAAGAGCTTTTTGAAGTCAGGCATTCAGGAAGTATGGATTTAAATATAGCAGACAGGTCTAGAAGAAGTCCTAAATCTTTCTATTAGTATTTCTTACATCCATTTTTATTGTTTCGCGTTTGTTGCATCCCCATGCTTAAAAATGATGGTGAGGGTGCTTGAACTAAACCTCATTTGATGAGCTTTAGATAAAATGCTCCTGCCGCTATTTTAAGCATGGGGATGCTGATACACGAGACACAGGAGGCTGCTGAAGCGCAGCAATTGCCACATTGGAGCAGCCTCTGCACTTGTGTATAGGCGCCCCTTATGTGACCATGGAAGTGTTATTTGGGCCGTGGTCATGTTACATTTGTAGCACACCTCTACCTTCAGCTCTACAGAAAGCCAGTGGGTAGACATTCGTGCTATATAGTGTCACAAAAATGGCGGATGCACTAGAAAAGTGTACCTGTTTCAAAGAAGAACTTCTCTGTAGCGCCACATGTAGCACATGGACAGCTGCATATAGTGATACAGGGAGTCTCTTGGACCCTAGCATCCCACTGTGCTCTGCTCTACCCACTTCCCTCTCAAAGTGGGGAGGGAGAGAAATCTGTGGGGTTCATGACAGTCTTTTGGGGCAAGTTTTGCTCTGCCACTGCTCTGGTCACCAGTGAGCTGGGAGGCAGCATGCTATCGGACAACCCTATCACCACTCTGGGCAATGAAACTGCAGCTGTCAAAAACAGCCTGTCCTCTCCCCTGCTGGGGAAGGGGGACTGGTTAGACTGTCAGTAGTTGGGCTCATTGACAGGGTCCCCTGAGGGGGCACAGGAACAAAGGAGCAGTCTTTTATCACCCCCCAGCTGAGGTAGATATTAGGAGAATTTGTAGCACTGACCAGGGGACTCTGAATGTGTGAACATCCTATGACGCACTATTTCTGTAGTGCTACAAAAAGCACTCTACAAATTAACATGTGTCCAAGGCTTTAGTTTTCCTGCACAATCAAAAATAATAGCAATTTCCTACTTCACAGAGATATTGTGGGAATAAATATATTAAAGACTGGGAGAAGCTCAGACAGCAAATAGTGAAAAGTATATAAGTACTATAAATGGATATACATTTAGTCTCTTTGTTGGGTACAGAAACACCTGTTTTTTTGGCCCTCAAAGTTAATCTCAGGCTCTAATATTAGTAGTGATCCGGCTACATGTCTGAGCCATGCACATAACTCAGATAGTTAACCATTCGGGTGCTAATATTTACCTTCACAATTCGTTCCAAGTACAGTCCTTAACTAAACCGTGTATACTCCAGTTTGGAAACCTGGGCTCTAGTTTTCCAGGAAAATATATTCTTGTATCCAAAGCATATTCTTGTATCCTAGTAAGAGTAGGAATGGTTTAGAGCAGGGCTTGAATTACATGTCAACTCTTCGAGGTGGGGGAATCTGCTACAGTGGCAACCAGAAGGAGCTGCTGCTGCTGCTGCCGCCTGGGCTGTTTAGAAAGGTGCGGGGTGGCCAGAGGCTGACAGTCCACAAGGGGGTTCTTGTCTCTTATGGGGAGGTCAGCCCCCTCAAGCTTCTCTATAATTTGAACCCTGGTCTAGAGGTAATAGTATAATATAGTATTATATATAATAATTGCATCAGAATGTTTCAAAAGGCAAGGATTTCTTAGGATGATATCTTTTATTTGACCAACTGTATAGAGTTAGACTTAGACAAGCTTTCAAACCCAAGACATTCTTCATCAGGTCTGAGCAATGAGAGCCAAGACAGCATAGTAAAGAAACAATTGCAAGAGAGGGGAAAAGATTCTCAGGGATAGTAGACAAACTCTTAGCAGAAGAAAAGTACCTGATCACTGATTACTGGGGGCATCTACACATGCCATTAAGGCAATGTTATAAACTCCAGTTCAGTTCGCACCAGAGTCAGCTGCTCTGGGGCACAGGTATAGATAGTGATACTTTACTGCACTGCTAATTAATCAACACTACAGTAAAGTGCTTGAGTAGATGCACTCACTGATACAAAGCCTATCGAAAAAGAGAAGGGTCTGTCTCACCTTTCATGTTCAGGGAGAATTTGGGGATCAGGTAGGTTATAATGAGCCATAAAACCACTATCAGTGTTAAGTGAAGTTGTTGTGGGTGAGGATGATGTGGAGGATTTGTGCAACTTGCTGGAAATCTGAGTGTAGTCCATGTTTTTGTAAGTATTTCAGGCAACTGTGCCTTCATAGTGTGGGACATTAGTATACAGGCTGGTGACATTCATGGTTGCGACTACGACCTTCTTGGGGAGGTGGCTGATGTTCTGGATTCTGTTGAGGAAGTCTGTGGTGTGTTGTATATAACTTGCTCTTTGATTGACAAGTGGTTTCAGGCTAGTTTCTGTGAATCTTGATAGTTCTTCAGTGAGGATACCACAGTTTAATATGGTGGGTCTGCCAGAGTTATCTTCTTTGTGGTTCTTTGGGTGCACAGAGAAGTTCCTGGGACAGGAGAGTTGGGAATAAGTAGAAGTAGGAGCAGGGGGTCGGACCCGATGATCTACCACAGGGGTGGGCAAAATACGGCCTGTGGGCCAGATGCGGCCTGCCAAGCACTTCCCTCCGGCCTTCGGAGCCCCTTCAAAACCCACGTAATGGCAGCTGG